CCCTGTGGCTACATTCACTTGGAATTTTGTGATGCTGTTGGTAAGTTAAGTTTAAAATCATTTCATTGGTATGCATTTTTTTGTGGGGAGAGGTTTTTGCTATAGGGCACACACACTCACCAGAAAGATAGAGACAGAGAGACAGAAAGCAAGAAATCACCCCTCGGGAGCATGGCCATGCTGCAATTCCTTCTCCTCCATTCTCCTCTCGAGATCTTGGGCACGCTTGTACATGCACCTGGTGTGAGTTTAAGCCACCGGGTCCGGGACTCGAACTTGGTTGACGATATGGGAGTCCAACGATATAGCTATTACACCAGTGACTGGTCCCAGTATGTATTTCTTTACATCAAGGTACACCATACTTAGGCAATGACATGCGTACTATGAAATTAGAGTGTATTTTTTAAAAACCAGTGAGAGAGAACCTGAGAAACTCACTCTTTTTTTGTGGCGGGAGGAGCTTTACTGACTACAGATTCACCCATGCACCTGAAACATATACTGTTATTTTTCCAGGAACACAGAAATCTAGTTCACTGAAACATTAAAACCATGTTTTATTTTTTTCTGAAGCCTCAAAAAACTTTCTTCTGAACCTCGAGCACTTCCTGTTATTCTCTCGCCTCTCCAAGATTTGAAAGATGTCTCTATTTTTATTTATTTTATTATTACTGTTTTTAAAAATTGCCAGAGGTGGGGACAAGCAGATGGCATAATGGCTTCGTGGCCAGACTCCCATGTAGTCGACTGTGGTTCGAGTCCCGAACCCAGTGGCTTAAACTCATGCCAGGCATGTGTGCGTGCGTGCTCAAGATCCCGAGAGGAGAATGGAGGAGAAGGGATTGCGGCGTGGCCATCCCCCATGGGGGGTGATTTCTCGCTTTCTGTCTCTCTGTCTCTCTCTGTCTTTCTGGCAAGCACACACACCCTATGAAAAACCTCTCCAAAAAAAAAAAAAATGCCAGAGGGTACATATCCTTGTGAGGAGGACAGAGAGAGAGAGAGAGAGAGAGAGAGAGAGAGAGAAAGCACCCAACAATGGAGCATGGACACTCCAAAATCCTTCCTTTTCCATTTCTTCCTGTTGGGAGTTGGGGCATGCAAGCATGTACGCCCAGCATGTCTCTCAAGCCTCTAGGGCCAGGATTCAAACCACTTGGTGGGTCATGTGGGATCCAGCCATCTTAACCACCACACCACAGAGTTGGCCCCAAAGATGCGCCCGTTAGAGGTTTTTGAAAACAACAGAGCAAACAGTGCTGAGCTTCAGTACTGCCTCTTCTGGTCCTTACACTCGGTGTCATGCCTCCTGAACCCTGAAGGTGGTCTTTATTAATTCCAAACCTCAAAAACATTTTTCTTTTCTCCAAACTTCTTTTTTCTTAAGAATTATTTTATTTAACTTTATTTATTTACTTCTTTATTTTAATTTGACCAGATTGAGACAGAGAGAGAGAGAGAGAAAGTGAGAAAGGAAGCTGCTAGGTCCAGGCCTCGAACCACAGTCGGCCGTGTGGGAGTCCGATGCCCTTAACCACCACACCACTTGCTGACCCCTTTTCTCTATATTTCTACTACTTCTTTCTGTTTGCTTCTCCTGAGTCAGAACGACCAGCTCCACCTCCGCCCCGAAACTACATTTCTGAAGTCATAAAACCTAACCGGGACTCTTCCTAATCACCACGACCACTTATTAAGGGGTAACATATTTATTATGTTTCAGGCACCTTTTGAAATCCTTTAATATATCTGTGCATTTAAAACTCACAGAAATTCTGTGAGATAGGCATCATCCCATTTCACATCCAGAAAAGTCTCAGAGCTTAGTGTCTTGCCCAAGATCACCTGGTTGGTAAATGGTGCAGTAGAACTCAAACCCTGGTCTATTTTGTTTTACTATTATTATTTTTAAATTGCCAGAGGTGGGGCCAGCAGATGGCATAGCACTTATGTGCTGGATTCCCACGTGGCAGACTGTGGTTTGAGTCCTGGACCCAGTGACTTGAAAATCATACCAGGTACGTGTATGCACGACCAAGATCCTGGGAGGAGAATGGAGGAGAAGGAATTGTAGTATGGCCATCTCCCCTGGGAGGTGATTTCTCATTTTCCCTGACACCTCGCCACCCCCAAAGCTCACTTGCTCTTTTTTTTTTTTTTTTTTTTTTGGAGAGGTTTTTGGTATGGGGTGCAGGGCACAGGCGCCCACCAGAAAGACAGAGACAGAGAGACAGAAAGTGAGAAATCAACACCCCCCCACCCCCCAGGGGAGATGGTCACGCTGCAATCCCTTCTCCTCCATTCTCCTCTCAGGATCTTGGGCAAGCATGCATCTGCCCACAGTGTGAGTTTAAGCCACGGGGTCTGGAACTCGAACTGCAGTCGATTACATGGGAGTCCAGCGACAGAGACATTAGGCCAACTGCTGGTCCCAAGCTCACTTGTTCTTAAGCAAACATCTCTAAAAAAATAAAATGCCAGAGGGTGCATGTGTTTGCTGGAGAGAGACAGAGAAAGTGAGAGTGCACTCCCCACGGGACACTGTCACACTGCAATCTCTTCTCCATTTCTCCCTTCCCAGCAAGTTTCTCAAGCTGTCATGTCCAGGACTGAAACCAAGCAGTTGACCATGTGGGATCCAGCCATCTTAACCACTAGGCCACTGGCTAGCCATGTTTTGTTAATTAATTAATTAATTACTTTGTTTCATGAGATTGAGAGAAAGACAAGCATCCTCAACAGGGTCTCACATGAAGATTCCCTGGTCCCAGCCAGCCGGATCATGGGCGCTAGCTGGCACGTACCGCTTGACTGGGGAACGGAAACTGTGATCTTCCACACAGATTCAGCATTGCTTGAGCAGTGGGTTACCTCTGCACCAATGAGCTAGCCTACCTGCCTGGTTGAAAACCCAGTCCTTTGACGCCTGTTTCCCCTGAGCCTGGCAGTGCCCCAGACTAGACTACTGGACCTTTTGAATTCTGTGACATACAGCTTCCTTTGATTTCAGTTTCAGATTTTGGTGGAGAGAATAATGGTCCCCCCCAAATTTCTATACCCAAATCCCCAGAAACCATAAATATCTAACCTTATTTGGCACAAAAGGACTTTGTAAGTGTAAGTTAAGGATCTTGAGATGGGGTCGTTTTTCTAGATTCTCCAGATGGGCCCATTGTAATCACATGCATCTTTATAAGATGGAAGAGGAATGCAGAAGGCTCAGAAAAGGAACCATGACAATGAAACTGGAGGTCAGAGAGAAAGCAAGAGAGAGAGATCTGAAAATACTGTTGTTGGCCTTGAAGATGGAGGAAGGGGCCAAGAGGCAAGGAGTGGGGACAATCGCTAGAAGCTGGAAAGGGCAAGGAACAGTCTCCTTACCATCCTCCAGAAGGAACACACAGCACTCCAACACCTTAAGGAACCCAGGGTTGGTGGACCCAGGTTTCAGCCAGCTTGCCTGGCAAGAGGATCAGCACGCAGGTCGGTGATGCAGGATCATGCCCATTTGGGAAAGGGAGTTCTTGCTTTGCTAAGGGAGAGGTATGGTTCAGAAACTTCTGGGGTTGACCCTACTTGTCAATCACTAATTAATTTTTAGGTTTATAGCTGATGTCTTCTTCGCCAGGGTATCTGGTATACAAGTTTCCCCAGCTTAAAATCTTTACCATTCCCTGCATAACCTTCCTCAGCTTCCTGGACAGAGGTTTCCTTGGAGGCTGAGTGGTGGCAGACCCCAAGTGTATCATACACACTGAGTGTGGCCAAATGGGGACTCAAGGGGGCAGGGGTCTGTGGACTTCATAACATTGGCCTTGTGACTTGGGTACTTAGAATAAAGACTTGGTGGGTCAGGAGTTTAGGAGGAGATAAGGCTGGCACCCAGAGGCAATAGGCCTACCGACAAGAAACTTTGCTTTGTGCAACTGTATTACTAAATCAAACAATCACTTTATTTTTGTTTTGTTTTGAATTGGTGGTTTGCTTCGGAGCAAACCTTTGCTCTCAAGGTTTAAGATGCAAAGTTGAATTCAGTAGGAGCCAGGGGCCTAGGTTTTTAAGTCCTTGCCTCCAGGGTACACAGCTGTCCCTCTTAGGAAAACTTAATCGCTCTACCCTATCCTCGTCACTGTCTGGGGTAATCCTAAAACAGGAGTAGGCTCCCTGTTACCATTCCCTCCATGGCAAAAATCAGGGAGAAGAAAAATCTTGGAGAAATTCCTAGTTGAGACCTCTCACTTGCAATACAATGTAAATATCTTCATAAACAAAAGCTTTAAGCATTCGAGAGTCACGCAAGTTATTAAACATGAGTTCAATTAATTTTGCGGAATTGAACCAAACTGGAAAAAACGGGAGCTGACAGAGCACCTACCCAGCACAGCAACTACTGCTGGTGGCGTAGTGTTTGAGTAGACAGGTCGCAGCAGACGCGAAGACCCTACCACTCGCGCAGGCGCAGAGCCGGGCGGCGGGCGGGCC